AGGCCAGAGATTGTGAGAGGGACTTTCCCATGGACGACTTTATTGGCAGATAGGGTTGGTCCGGATAGGTAATAGACAGGACGTATTTGGCGAAACGTTTGCCGAGATACTGGATCCCTCTTTCGGTCTTCGTGGTGTTGCCGGTGAACCCTCGTACGTAGATTTCTTCTTCGTCTTCCTCGTCTTCCTCCTCCCCAACCTCGTTGACGACATTAGAGGTGGCGGCTTCAGGGGGGCTATCACCGACACTCGTGATGTCCGGCATCGATTTTGATCGCTGTCCCAGAACATCTCTTCCGAACTCGTTCTCCCTTGTCGCATGTCGTGCCCTGATCTCAGCCCGCCTTCTTTTCGCGTCTTCCTTTGCCTGCCTCGCAGCCGTATCAATGCTTTCCTTCATGAACAGCATATCTGCGCCCACATTACTGTGGATACCGTGGGTGAGGAGCACGAGGTGGATCTTCTTCTGCTTCTTTTGCGTTTTGTCTGGTTTCGCGCCGGCATCTCTCTTGTCGCCATGTTGAGGTCCCTGTTCCACCCTGACTTTGGCTTGCCCATCGACTTCTTCCTCCCATTCAGGAAATGGAGGCGTGTTCCAGAGGCTGTGGGTGTCATCTACCACCAGTCTGACCGCCTTAGAGAAGACGCCTTTCGGATGCTGCGGGGTGTTGGCTTTTTGCGAACGAGCACGTTGATGATCTTCGAGTCGACCAGGAGCGCCTTGGCCCGATCCAATGACACCGTGAAACCCCAGTTCTACCGACTTCTCATCACGTCCAACAAGGACCTCATACTCAACACTGGCCGTCTTGGAGAAGATGACCTGCGAAGCAATTTCGATGATCCAGGTGAAGCTCTTTCTCTCGTTTGTCCCCCTGTCCCCGCGCCTCACGTCTAGGCTTTGTCTCTGAGCATCTTCCCGGACATATTCGGGGACAGTGAGTTTCGCATTCCATTGTCCGCCCGCCTTCAATTGCGGCTCAAAATCAGGTGTGCCTTCGGTGCTTGCAGCCTCATGTTTTTTGTACGGGTCGAACGTGGACGGATAGCACGCCACATATAGAGTGTATGGTCCATGCAAGTAGGCGGCGCGAAGAGGCGCGGCGACCGTGTTCTTGATCTTCACATGCAAATGTGTGGGGGGCGGAAGGATGCGGTCGAGGCTGGGAGTGTAGGTTATGGTATATCTGCAACAGCGATATGTTAGCAGACAGCCATTCAGACACAGGATGGTCGGCCACGTACCTTACAACCTCACCAACCCGAACAGCGCCAGTCTGATGGAGCAGGAGCATGGTTCTGGAGGTAGCCCTACATGCCGCAGCTTTCACCCGCACACAGTTAAGGCTCGAGATATGTTCTCATGTCTTTTGAACTATTCTGAACGGGTTGGAGGGGACGGATTATTGGTGTAAAACGCGGGGACAGCTCTCAGCTGCATGATCTTTGACGACTGAGGCTCCGTATAGCGTTCCCTGGACTCGCCATCATGTCCATGACATGAGAAAACAATGGACCGGGTGGAGGGTGTAGACCTAAGTAGGGAATGGTAGGGCTCCCTGCAGTCGGGATGCAATGGGTATGACACAACTTTATGGAGCATGGCACAACACGGCTTGACGGGCTTGCGGGCATACCGAGTACGCAGGCAGAGGCTGCAGCCCTCAACGGACGGCACCCAAACGGCCAGTAGTGAATAAGTTTAGTCACGCGCCCACCCGCGCTCGCGTGCACGTTGGACGGGGCCAAATTATACCGCCTGACCACCTAATTAATGAACGGAGCATTATGCATACTACTTCGTACCTCGATTTTACCAAGATACTCTTAGAATCTTGTCAATATTGCCATCTACATATATGAGAACGACGAACCAATGGCCCTCCTCCACGATACATTCAAGCCTCAGCCCATACGCCTTCTTAGCCTGTCAGGACCGTTCGTTCCGTCGGTTCAATCTTTTGATAGCTTCGCCGCAGCTCATGTGCTCCTCTCGGCCGTGGCCAAAAAAAATCGTCAAAAGAAACCCGGCCTCTAGACTCCAGGCACCTTCGGCGAACAAAACTCGACGCTATGGTTGATGGAACAGCGGTGCTTCGATCGCAGGAAGCTAACCTGAATCACCAGCAGCATCTGTCGCTCACCCATCGATTGAGAGCACTCTTCAGTGATAACAGGTATAGTTCGGGGAAGACACCTTCCCAATGCTCCAAGTTTTATTCACAAACATATTTATAGACCTGGTCGCCCGTATATCGTGTATCCCAGAACATGCAAGTGCGCCGGGCGACCTCAAGCGCAGACATCACTGTGTACAATAGAATTCATAGTCTTGCCTTTAGCATCTCGTTAGGTGTAATTAGAGGATCGTAGGCTCGAATTCCCAGCGTGTCCTGTGGTACAGTCGCAGTATGGTACCGCAAGCCAGCGGTGTCGACCATATCGGGGGTCAGCTCTTCCACCTTGGAAGCACCAATAAGCCTCATGTTCATCACCATTTCGTCTTTTAGTAGTTGCATGGCACGATCAACACCGGGTAATCCATAGGCGGACATGGCGAAGAGGAATGGTCGGCCAATGCCAACACCTTTGGCACCCAGGCACAAAGCCTTGATGATGTCAGTTGCTCGGCGAACACCACCGTCGATGAAGATCTCGATCTTGTCCTGCAGACCTCTCTCTCGTAGAACAGGCATGACTTCGGCGAGAACCTCAACGCCCGAGCGAGCGAAATCCAACTGGCGACCGCCGTGGTTGGAAAGGACAACACCGTGGACGCCAACCTCAATGGCCTTGAGCACATCCTCTACACGCTGGACACCCTTGAGAATGATGGGCATCTTCGTGATACTCAAGAACCACGGAATGTCTTTCCAACTTAGGCTGGGATCAATAAAGCTCGAAATGGCTCTGGCGGCACCTTGGGATCGATCAACGTTCTCGCCGCTCGTTTTTTGGACATTGGATCCGGTATCGTCAAACTTGCTGCGCATGTCCTTCTCTCGTCTGCCCAGTTGGGGAGCATCGACCGTGATGAAGAGACCTTTGCAGCCTCGTGCTTCGGCGTGCTGGACGATCTTCTTTGTGATCGACCTGTCTTTGTTGACGTACAGCTGAAGCCATTGACATTGGTCACCTTCCCGAGCATCACAGATTTCGTCGAAACTGCAGGAAGCCAGGGTAGGAATCATTTGGATGACGTTGTGCTTCTTTGCTCCTCTTGTGAGAACAACCTCTCCCTCGGGATTGCCCAACTTCCCCAGTGCAGTTGCAGTGACATAAAAGGGAATATCGCATTTTGTCCCGAGCATGGTCGTACTGATATCCACGTTTTCCACGTCAATCAGAATCCTTGGTCTGAACCAGATCTTGTGGAAGGCGGAATGGTTTTCTCTCATGGTGATCTCGTCGTCGGCACCGGAGCTGTAGTATGCCCAGGCTGGTCTCTTCATCACCTGTCTGGCGACGCTCTCAAAATCCATGAGATTGTAACATGCTTCAAGAGGTGGCATGTTCTTGATGCGCTCTTGTCTTGCCTTCTCCTCTGGGCTCTCCTCCTTTTCTTCTTGCTGGACAGTCTCCATGTTCACAGGTCCGAGATGTTTCTCTTGAGGTAGGTACTTGTCCAACGTATCGGGAGGATGGATGGGGTCGAATTCCTCGGTGGCATCTTTGCCAGCGTACTTGAGAATGATCTTGGAACCACCGGGGTGCTCTGGACACAAATTAGCCAGACTGTTGGTTGGGATCCGGATGTGTTGACGGCACACCTGGTAGGAACTCTGTCACATCATAGGCTTTTCCATGGACAATTACCCAACATGAATCTTTGGAATTGTGTTTGGCCACCTCTTCTCCAGTGAGGGTACCCACGTCGGGTCTTTCGCCTTCATCACGATTCATCTTGGGCTTGATCCGGGAGTAGAGGTTGTCTCTCAGGGTCGGGTTCAGAGGCAGGAGATTCCGGAGGACGAGGCGAAGGTGAAGAGAAGAAGACAATGGCGAAAGCAATCACGACAAGGAGGCCAAAGAGGAGTATAAATGCTGGAGCCAAACTGTGGAATTGAAGAGTCTGTCCACGCACGCCACGGACAAATTTCCTGGGGAAAGTGTAATGGTCAGCCATTTGGCCGATTTGGCCGGCGATTGGTGCGAGATGCTATCAAAGAAGCTCTACTGGTAGAAGTCCATTCTGGGGCATGGCCGGGTATGCATGGCCGAGGCGGGGACAAGATCGATCTGTGTGATGACGGTGTTCCCGCCGCCTCGACCGCCGACCCTCTCTTTTCAACTTGAGCTTGACTCGCCTGTTCAGTTGTCATATTTTGTACAGCGTGGCCGGGGATGAAGAAGTGCCGGTGTCCACAAGACCAAGTCCAGCATCATCCTCATTATTCGCCCACATTCGCCACCGTCGCCCCATGTCGTTGTCTGCGACCTGCCTTCCAGCATTCCGCCAACTGACCAAGTGGGGAGTCTGCTTGTGAAGCCGTGATTGGTCTTCGTTCCCTCGAAATCTCCTCTCTCCCTGTTTGCTAAAGAGACAACAGTCATTGGGCCATGAACAACAGGCGCAAGTCTGTACTACCCCGCAAAACCCAAACCACCAAGTCGTCCTCTAGTATCGGCCAGTTCTTCCATCCACTACCATCACGACAGCATGGACTTCTACATCCTTGGCGCGTCCTCTTCTCGCTTCGATGCTTCAGGGCGGTTGTCATCGGTGCAAGGGTCTGCTGTCTGTTGCAACCAGACATCATGCTGTACCTCGTATTCCTCCTAAAATGCTGTCACTGTTTTGCGTCGGTGCGACGATCACTCGATTGGCCAACCCCGTCCAAAAGCTTTGCACTGGGTAGGGATGAGGTTGTTGACGAGTTCAAACAATGCAACCCTCCTTGAATGGAGTGGTCCAACATAAGCTGCGCGCTCCCCGCGGATTGTTCGCTGTGTTCTCACTGTCACTCTTCTCGGTTCGTCTGCGTGCCTATGATTAAAAGATGGCGGAACCCTCTGAAAAGGAAATTGTTTCACACGATGAGTCTTCGGCCTCGCGTTACGATGCCTCTGGCACGAACCGTGACATTGACCCCGAGAAGCTCAACGACCCCAAAATGCAGAAATTGGCTGGCGAAATCACTTACGACGATGAGACAGACCCAGTGAATAGACAGCACAATCCTCTCGCCCAAAAGCTGCGCTCGCGGCACATGCAGATGATCGCGATTGGTAACATTACTCCTTCTGCACACCACGCAAAGCTTGTCCATGCTAAGACATTGTCAAGGCGGCTCGATCGGCGCGGGTCTATTCGTGGGTTCCGGAAGTGCGTTACACAAGGGTGGTCCTGGGAGTGTGCTCCTGGGGTTCATAATCATCGGCTTCATGCTGCTCTGTACAATGCAGGCGCTTGGCGAATTGGCCAGTATGGCCTGGAAGCCCATCTTACTTCTTGAACATTGGTCCTGACGATTGTGCACAGTTCTGTACCCTGTGAATGGCGCTTTTTACACCTACATTGTTCGATTCGTCGACCCATCCCTCGGGTTTGCAGTGGGTTGGGTAAGTGCTCGTATGTCGATAGGACCATCTGAATGCTGACCACTGGTCAGGACTACGCCATCGGCTGGCTTACTGTCTTGCCCTTTGAACTTACCGCGGCGTCAATCACGATCGAGTACTGGAGGGATGACATCCACGTCAGCGTTTGGATCACCGTTTTCTTGGTATTCCTGTGTCTGGTCCAGATATTCGGCGTTCTCGGCTACGGTGAGGTGGAATTTGTGCTGGCCATGATCAAAATCACTGCTTGCATAGGTTTTATCATCTTCGGCATTGTGGTTGACTGTGGCGGCGTCTCTTCCGATGATCGTGGCTACATTGGTGCTCGATATTGGCATAATCCTGGCGCTTTTCAGAATGGATTCAAAGGCTTCTGCACGTATGTGTTACTCAACACCACGACTGAATCAGGCTGACCTCGTCAGTGTATTTGTCACAGCAGCTTTTGCTTTCGGTGGCACCGAGCTCGTTGGGTTGGCGGCTGCAGAAGCAGCTGATCCTCATCGCTCCCTTCCTAAAGCGACTCGACAAGTCTTTTGGCGAATTGCGACTTTCTACGTCCTTTCTCTTTTCATTGTCGGCCTTATCGTGCCATCGGACAGCCCAGACCTTCTGGGAGCCAGCGGTGCCAATACCAAGGCCTCTCCCTTTGTCCTGGCCATCAAGTACGCAGGTGTCAAAGGGTTACCATCTGTGATGAACGCGGTCATCACCATCTCGGTCATTAGTGTCGCCAACAGCTGCACTTACGGCTCCTCGCGCACCATGCAGGCTCTCGCGGCCAGAGGAATGGGACCGAAGTTTTTGATGTATGTCGATCGGAAGGGAAGACCACTCTGGTGTGTCGTGATCCAGCTGTTGTTCGGGTGCCTCGCGTACATTGGTGAGGCCAATGCTTCCGACACCATCTTCACGTGGTTGTTGTCCCTGTCCGGTCTGAGCTTTTTCTTCCTGTGGATGAGCATCAATCTCTCGCATATTCGTGAGTGCATTTCCGTTTGCCATTTGAGTGCCCGGCGCTAACATCTTGCAGGGTTTCGACACGGATGGTAATCTTTCAGGGTTCGACTCTAGTTTGTGGGAGAGATGCTAACTTCGTGACAGGTATGCCCACGGCTTCACGAAACACCAACTGCCCTATCAGGCGGCCTTTGGCATCTGGGGATCCTACATTGGATTTTCGCTCAACGCCCTGGCTATCATTGCAACATTCTACACTTCGCTGTTCCCGCTCGGATCGGACCCCGACGCAGAGGTGTTCTTTGAGAATTTCCTCGCCGCCCCAATCGTCATCGCTCTGTTCATCGGGTGGAAAGTTTACTCCCGCGACTGGAAGCTCTTCATCCGTGCCGATGAGATGGACGTCACGATGGGTATAAGGCGAGGGAGTCTCGAGATCGCGGCCGAAAAGGGACGTAGCGGGTGGAGAAAGGCACTCCGGGTGTTTATTTGACGGTCAGGCGGGCTTGGGAATGAGATGGGCGTCTTATGGAGAAAGGAGAAGCAGAAGAAGAAGAAGAAGAAGAAGCAGACAGCACGGGATTGCAACCCACCCGACGTCTTGTACCATACATATCATTCATTACCTTTCTGTCTTGTATGGAACGTACCTAGTACCCGCGATCAAGGTCGTACTCAACATCGCTGGAATGCTCGGACTGGGTCAGGGCTATGAGACCAACCGAAATGGGATTTGTTTTTTGTTTTTCATAAGGGTCAGGATGTCAGTCAACATTATTTGTGCCATTGCGTGTGTCGTCCTTCACATCCAATGTGTTTGCCTAACGGTCGTAGGTAGGCGATGGCTTACGCTTTGCCGATCCTGGATAATTGATACCCAAGTTCCTGACCAGTCTGCTGCGGCCATTGCGCCCCACCAAATACCAGCCTCAGTCTTCGGCGGGTTCTCCGTCTTCGCTATTCTGCGCTTTCCAGAGACCCTACCAAGTGTCTAGACTGACCCCTTGGTATTTGGGGTCACTGCAAGTCCAGATCTGCAAGCGTCCTCTAGCAGGACGATACCCACAGTCATGCATCTCGCAGATGCCATCGGGTGGGTTTGGCCTTGAGAGCTTGGCCTCTCCTTCCCGTGAAAGTAGGTATACTTCCAGCAGTTGTCACAGATGTAAGAGGTGTACTGCAGCCCCTTTACACACTTGTACCTGTACCAGAGTCTGGGGTTCTACCTGCGACAGTCCTTGTTGGAGCACTCTGTGGGCCTGGGTGCGCCCGCCATCTGCAGCAACTGAGAGGGTTGAGCTGCGTGAACTTCTTTGTCGGCCACTCAGGATGCTCATCCTCCTCCCCCAGAAATAGCATCAAGTCGATGCATCACTGCGTCGGATGGCTACCCTGTTGATTCTCTCAGGTCCGCACGAGGATGGTATGGACGGCCTCCTCGAGCGTGACGTCCGGCTTCAGCGTTGCCTCTCCGTCAAGGATAGCCACAATATGAAGGTTGGGTTTGGCACCCTCCTTGCTGATCGTTGGTCTCATGGCCCCATTATCTGTCGTCAACTTGCGAGCCACAACCTTTTGGCAGCGCTCTAATCGACCCTGAAGACCTAATGTACCTGTTGACCACCCAACCCTATATGGGCCTCATCTCGTCGTTGTTGTCGATGGCGGGGCCCGTAACAACATCGACATAGACACCCCATAGGGTCACATCCTTACCACTGGATGGGCAGCAGCTGAAGCTCGTTCTGGCTCAACGGACTCCCTAGCACCAACTTAACTACTTCTCGTACAGCGTTCTCCAACATCGGCAGTACCACCTCTACCGAGATCTAGCGGAGAAGTTGCCACAAGGCAGCTGTCAATGGCTTCTCAGTCTTTTGATATGTGGAGAGAGCCTCCCACGAGATCGCGTTGACTCGCTGCTTGAGACGGTGTGACAATCGTTTTCAAGCGTTGCCGATAGCAATCCTTACGTCGGCTCTTCTCCTCAGCTGACGAGGCTGCCAGCTCAAGGGCAACACTGCAACCGTCCAGCCACGGACCGAGTTCCTCATAGTTGTCTATTCTAGCCTCTACCTCATTGTCGGCATCCGGCTTGGAGGCCTTCAGGGGGATCAAACTCCTCTTCTTCATCATCATCATCATCATCATCATCATCATCATCATCATCATCATCATCATCATCATCATCATCATCATCATCATCATCATCATCATCATCATCTTCATCTTCATCTTCTTCTTCTTCTTCTTCTTCTTCTTCTTCTTCTTCCTCGCTCTCTTCCTCCTCCTCATTGTCAGGTATGGGCTTATCTGCCTTGGCTTTTCCCTTGGGGCTTTCCTTTGCTTTCCCCTTGCGTTTGCCCTTGCCCTTGGCGTCCTCTGACTCGTCATCTTCTGAGGAGTCCACCAGTCCACTACATATCTTGCCCTCTTGTGAGGTCTAGTAACGGTGGCCTCCTCGGCAGCAGGTCGCTTCGTGACAGGCAGGCTGGAGGGCGGTGGAAGGATAGAGGAAAGGTTGGCGTCCTTCTCACCGAAAGGTTTATGCCACGAGGACGGGAGAGTCGATCGAGAAGACATGATTAACAAGGTAGGCTCCGAAAGTTGATTGTTACGAAGAGAGAAAGAGAGAGGAGGGTGAGAAAGGGGAGAGAGCAATCAGGAAAGTTTCCACCACAGGTCCCCTCTCCAGCGAGCCAGCGGCTCGTGCATTAGACGTAAAGCGACCCCTTGATTTCTCACGATCTATCTGAAATACGACTCATTACAGGTACACATCTTATCCGGTAGACTTCGGGGAAATCTCAAGTTCTCCCAAGAAGATTTGGCTTTTCAAGAGAATGGAACACTGCCAATAGCACCTACTCCTAGAGTGAGCACCTGATCCATCATGAAGAAGGAAATGAATCGTGTCGAATGGTGAGTTGAAGGTACATAAACTAAACTAGAGAGTAGGTTCTAGAGTTGTCAGTCATTGGCTACATCCACCCTGACCATTTACCAAGCTAATCCTAAAAGGGACTTGCGGTAAAAATCCTCTGCACCACAACTGCCATGGTATCTGGGAAATTAATTTGAACCAGTACGCACTGATGCGCGGAAGGCCAGATGAGTTCAACCACTACTCTGTGTACACAAGCAACTCATGTAGAGAGTGCAGAGTGTACACCTGGCCGAAGCCTCCTGCAGGAAAATGGATTCGTTGAGCAAGGGACTTCCTCGGACGACGAAGTCGAGCCACACCCTTTGGGAGTGAGACCGTCCGGAAATGCACTCACGTCTGATCAGAATGCTCAGGAGTCGATGGGCGGCTTCAGATTCCTACCAGACGGCCTACTTGTGACGCTGCTCGAGTTTCTTGACGCGCGGGCGCTCCTCAACCTGGGCGCAACGTGTCGCGGGTTCTACGCATACTGCACTTACGACCAGCTGTGGCGAGACGTGGCGGTCAACGAGACGAACGAGCGCTTTGAGTGGCGCGGGAGCTGGCGAGCATCTCTCCTGCGGCTGCCACCGACAACACGGCTTGCAAAGGTGGACTGCCGATACGTGTTTTCCGACGCACTCTATCGGCCGTTCCAATGCTCCCGCACACCGTTGGGCCCCTACGTATCCAACATTCCGCTCCAAAACGAGATTCCACGACTGAAGGACGTGTCGCCCGAAGAGTTCAACGATTCATGGGTCGGCAGACCATTCATCCTGACGGCACCGGTAAAGAAATGGAGGGCGTTTGAGACGTGGGACCTGCAGTATCTACTCGCAGAGTATGGGCATGTGTCATTTCGTTGCGAGGCAGTGGATTGGCCGCTGACGACCTACGTCGAGTACATGGAGAGTTCCCAAGATGAATCGCCACTGTACCTTTTTGATCGGGCATTTGTGGAAAAGATGGGGTTGCAGGATGCGTACGAACCCCCGGAGGCGTTCCAAGAAGACTTTTTCACCCTCCTCAAGGACCAGAGACCTGATCGACGCTGGTTGATTATTGGACCTGAACGAAGTGGAAGCACGTTTCACAAAGACCCGAACGCCACGAGCGCCTGGAACGCCATCATTCGAGGCTCGAAATACTGGATTATGTTTCCGAGCTCTATCCTTCCTCCAGGCGTCTATATGTCCCAAGATCAAAGCGAGGTGACTTCGCCGCTGAGCATAGCTGAGTGGCTTCTATCATACCACGCCGAAGCTCGGGCGATGAGTGGCTGTTTGGAGGGTATCTGTCGGGAAGGCGAGGTCCTACATGTACCCTCGGGTTGGTGGCATTTGGTAGTCAACCTTGAGCCAGCCATTGCCATCACTCAGAACTTCGTCCCCAGAGCTCACGTCCCATCAACGATTCGCTTCCTTAGAGACAGGGCAGATCAAGTTTCTGGATTTAGTGACAAAGTCGCAGACCCTTATGCCCTCTTTATGGAACGTTTGAAGGAAACAGACCCTGATCTGGTGGTTTCTCTCGACGACTCCCGTAAGCGCAAATGGGAGGAGGTCGTCGCCGGTGATGAGGAGGCCAATGGAGAGCAGCAAGGGTTCAGCTTTGGATTTAGCGATGACCTAGATGAGGCTGAAGAACCTTCTGATTCTTCCGGCCTGTGACCTCAATGACATGCTGCCGATCTGGTGGGCGAGGTCCGGTAACTGAAAGCCCAGAATCCAATAAATGCGCCCACTGCTACCGCCAGCATCACGAATCCGTTGTAGGTCATGAACAGAAGCCTCGAGTCAATTAGTGGGAGTCGACATGCATGGAGTGGGGTCAGTCATACATGATAAAGAAGCTGTAGAACACCTGCAAGGCATACAGACCAGCTCTGGTTATCGTTCCCTGCCTCTCTGTCGCCTCGTGCGATCCCGACCCTGCAAGCAGTGAGCTTGATTCCGCAGGTGTACCTTGGATGTCTCAGTGACGGCGTAGGATAGTGTCCAGAAGGGCCACGTACTCGTGTTAAAAGTATTTATTCTGGCATTGAAGCTCTCGTCATATCTCCTGCTTATTTCCCGGACACACTCGTAGCCAGCTGTAAGAAGGGCGATGGTCACCAGGGAGAGGAAGAGCGACATGGGCCCTGTGACTCTCCACGACTCGAAGACGATACAAAGGCCTTTGACCTGCCAATTGAAGAGCATCTGACTTGTCAGAGCGATGCTCCTAGCATAACCATTTGGTGACTCACATTCATGGAGCATTGCCCGTCGTGCATACCGCCATGGTCCATACCGCCGTGATCCATACCACTATGGTCCATTTCGCCGAATTACTTGTTCAAACGTGACGAGAAAAGGGCAGGAGTTGGGAGATGTTGAGGGTGATGTTCGGTGTGATGCTCAGAGTGATGCAAGGTGTGCAAGTTCCTCTGCGGAAAGACGCGGTACTTCCCCAGCGTGCCTAGTTAATAGCGCGTTAGCCACTCTGGAATTTCCTGCGCCCCTCTCACCACTTTCGAGCAACTCACAACACCACTAACAAAAACCTGGCTCACGATGGCTGAG